GAATAAATCGTAATTTAACATTTAATTTCGTACTTGTAAGTACCCTAAAGTGATATAACATCATTGTTATTGGAGGAACACAGTCAGATGAATAATTTTTGATACATAAATCTGTGATCTCTCCGAGTGCGGTGTTGATAAAAATATATTTCAATCGAATAACATTCGTTTCATAGCTCAATTTGGAGATGTTAAATATCCAATACTAAATTGTGATATATCATCAAAAAATTCTTACTTTCGATAACTATTTCTAACTATTATTACATCCATTTTTTCAACGATACACAACTATTTTACCGCACTTTATTGCTATCAAATTTCTAAACTCCGCTTCATGGGTCGAATTTGGCCGGCGAGGGCATTCCGACGGAAAATTGTCCAATTAGTTTCGAAACTGCTGGAAGTATGTTCAACAGTATGCGACCGCATGCATGTGCTCCCACTAAACCCGTGAAATTGTCAGATTTTGAGTTGGTTCTTGAACGCCGGTTTGGTCGATCATTGCGAAACATGAAATTTATCGAAAGTCTGGCTTCGCTGGGCGAGGGTACAGCGCCAACGCATATCTGGGTGCTGGGGAGGGCGGGCCTGTGACATTAATTTCACACGGACTGAAATTCCGCGAACAAACACCCAACCGACACGGAACGAAAACAGCCAACAGCGACGCGCAAGGGGAAAATTGTCACCAGTTCCGGGGGTAAATCCTATGCGCGATGCAGTGGCGTGGCGTGCTTTGCGATAAATCGATTAATCTGCCATTTAAACATATGGAAAAGGATCGATGAAAAGGGTGTTCGAAACGAACACTTTAATAATCGATTCCTTACCATATCTTCAAATGGGAAAATATCAATAATCGATCATTCACGCCTCGCCAGAGATGCGATGACTCCTAATACTATAACATGGATCCTCGTGTTCCAACTCCGCGTGTCGCCAACTCTTTGATATATACTAGATTTTATCGATAGACTGATTCATGGGCTACACTATTCAATATATGTAGCTGTTCGATGCAGGATGGCATGAAAATAAAAAATGACTTATGAGAGATGGAAAATGAAACGCTGGGTGCAGAAAGGGCATTTCTTAGTTGCAGTATCTCAAAATCTCCGCTGACGTTTCATCCATTTTAATTGAAGCAAAGGTATGTAATTTCTTGTAACTTTTACTGAATATGATTTACTGATTTTACGGTGCTGAAAACGTGAAATTCAAGAAATTCATCCAATAGTTTACTTCCTAAAATAAAAATTAGCTTTGGAGATTCTGAGGTACCGCAACTAAGAAATGCTCTTTCTGCACTTAACGCCTCAAACGTCCATGAAATACTATCTGAGGCTAGGAGTTATGAGAAAAAATATGAGACATTCGTTTCAGGGGCAGGATATGCAACCCACAATCAGAAACCAGACGATTAAACTACTCTAGTTGTCTGCATTTAATCCTCAATTTATATTTTTGTCATTCACTTGAGAATTGAAAAATTACTAATCGATACCATCAAAATTATGCTCTCACATTTCACTGAAAATAAGAAATCCTTCTTTAAATAGGAGACTTTATTTTGCAATCTGAAATTTCACGATTTTAAATTTCAGGAAATTTCGCCACCCTGTTTTGACTGTCTTGCTGTAAACAGATACATGACCTTTTCGTGTTTATATGTGAGGGTGGTCGAATGTTCGTGTTTGCAGGGTCATAAATTTATTTATGGCTTATTAATGACATGTTCATAAAAAACTAACAGAATACATACTAAACACCGTTCATCATATTTCCCTCAAAAACAATAATCCCTGTTTTTCAAATGCTCTCATAATACGTTGTGAACCGTTTGTTTTTGCACCAGAAGAGAGAGGAAAGTTATAAGTTGAACAAATTGTTTTGGAGTGCTCAACATGTTAGATTAGAACTTAACATTACGAAGTTTTTACGACTGCATTTCCTTCTCTGAGAAAGGTCGCATTAATGTCTTTCATGTCTAATCTCTTTGACCCGCAAGGCGTCAAGAGTTTTCTGTCCTCATTTCTCAAGCGACATGACTTCGGTTCAATTTAAACTCTTTGGTAATTTTTTCTTCGAAAATTGACTAGTACGATTATGCAATCTAATTGTGCAATATTACAAGGCAATTCCTGTCTAAAATGTTGCTGATTTTTGCGAGTGATTAATGGAAAGATTAGTGAAACATACAGCTAGGAATGCTAATCTATTTCACATTAAAAACACAATTTGCGAGTGGTTATTTTGCAACGCTATCATCGACCGAGTTTATAATAAAAACGCACCAAGTCGTATCAACTTTCCATCGAAAATAAGAGGCCTGAAACTTTATTCCTCCATGATTATCAATGTTGCGGACATATTTTAAAAATCATTTCCGCGTTCAAAACTTCAAAATATCATTCCTCGATTTTGAATTGTTGAAAGGATGTACGACTAATTGAACTAATTCTCGATGATAATATCAAAATAGTTGTCGGTGGAAAGCATTGAGTGAAAGTTATTGGACGTTTCACTGCGGCGGTCATTAAAAACACGAAGATTACAACGAAAATCACTCCTCAGTGGACATCACGCTGTTCAAAGATGCGTAATACAAACATTTCAACTCCTGGGCCGCTCAAATTGCATCCATCGAGTTGAAGGCGAACATGATTTCTAACTCCATTTTCGAGTTAATCAGGTGTAACCACGAGAGCGGTGCTCAACAGAGACTTCGCAGGTGTCTGAAATTTGATGAATTTCGTGTTTAAGTGGAAACTACTGAGTGAACTGAACCCGAGAATACCCTTGGTTCATGAATTGAACAATTATTGGAGGAAATACGACAAAATGACCTAATCTGCTAAAATATAAGTGTTTAAATGGGAAATGCCGCCAGATGACGTCACTAGGCGATGCATATTCTCACTTTTAAATATATTTTTTTACTATTTCTCATATCGGAAAGAAATTATAAAAAATACTGTGAAATCAGCTTTTTAAGCACTTCCAGATGAAGCAATAAAAAGTTTGCATGCAAATTCTCCATTCTATAACTTTTGCAACAAACAACTTGATGAAAATGCTTGTAGGAGAAAAATAAAATACATGAAAAGGGTCGTGGGTGAGTATCCGTGGATTAAAAAGTCATGGTTGAAAACATATGGGTGAATGGTCCCTAAGGCGAAAAGACTGTCGATGAGTAGTTCTGGCACCTGATTAAATACAAATTCCCATCAGCAACGTGACCAAAATCTCAGTTCCATCACCACAATCCCTTATCCTGTGGACAACCACATGCATGTCATAATTTTGCAATCTCGGACCCGCGAAACATGGCTGCCTTCGGAGTGCCCGTTTTCCTAGCAACAGGCCCGACTTCCCGGCCACTGTGCGTGGCGACAGGCAACAAACCCACATAACAGGCACCTCAAAGCATACAGCGTTAATGATATTCAGCGGTCATTAGCGGGATACCGGACGATCAAAGCGCGGGGCGCTGGGCGGTGCTTTCGCATGACTCCGCGATTTTTGACCCCTGACCAACCGCTCCCCACCCCCACTCGCCCTGTCCGGGATGTACCCGGGGGAGGGACTTAGTCAGGGTTTTAATAGAATCATAGACGCGTCGTTAAATGCCAAGGGGACAGGGACACGGCTATGTACTCCTGCATCTCTGGGTTGTCACGTAGGCTGACACGTCATGCCCCAGCTGAGGAGTATGCTGTTGTGCTGATACAAAACGTTGTGCAAATATCCACACGTCGCCAGAGTTCTACTGATAGAAACCGAATTCGCCCCACAGAATTTATGCACAAACTTGAATTTGTTTTAGAGAATTACGCTCTCAGTTAAATGGATTGCATTCTGCAAAAAGGAATCAGAAGCATTGCAATGGTGCTAAGATTGTGCAACTTCGTCCTTTCCAATAAAATTACTGAAACCATGAAAAAATATGAAATTTACATGATAATTGTAGTCTCTAAATCACAGCTTTTAGCGAGTAAAATAGAAACTGTTAATAAATAATCAGGTTTTTCTTCCAAGACAAAAGAAGTTGCACAATTTTAGCGACATTGCAATGCTCCTGATGGTTCCTTTTTGCAAAATGCAATCCTAATCTAGTATAGATACACATTTTTAAAAGCAGCTCGAGACAATGATAACAGTGAAAAAACAAGGCTAAAATACACAATTAATAAAAACCGAGACGTTTCGACTCAAAACTGAGTCATTTTCAGGAGTTGATTTTCAGACTTCCTGTTGTGTGATTCGTTTTCCCGGTGAAATTTTAAAGAGGAGACATGAACGGCGTAAGTCCTCAATCACATATCTCGTTTGCGGTGTCTGGAAATCTCCGCCTCTATGTTATTCTTTTAAAGGAGAACAAATTGACATCATTCCTTTAAGTTTACGCAGAATTTTCTTCTAACAGTGAAGGAAAGTCACGGCAGTTTTAAAGAATTGCCGTTGAATAGTTTACCGTTTAAAAAATAGAGAATGACAGGAAGTCTGCGACGTTGCAAACCGAGTTATGTGATTGTCCGACTTACACCGTCGCCATGTCACATTATGCTTTAATTCAAACCTAGTCTAGAGTCCCATTCAAGCTCAAAACTTTGCGGAATCTAAGAGAAAAAAACCGCTGAGATATTTGCATGAAAAATGAATAAAAACTTACATAGCTGAGCCCAGTCCAACTGAGCTGAGTTCAAAAACTACTTTTCTTCTTAAGTATTCAAATTGAGGGCTATGAACGATCATTTTCTACCTCTAAAAAAACCTTGGCTATGCTCTTTGCAGCAATCATTCCCGATAAATCTTCTGTATAAAAATAAACGAATGAAAATATACGTGTTTCATCGCTTCTTTGGCAAAACGACTTATCTCAATTTCCACATGGGGCCTGTTCTCCGTACAAGCGTATGCTTTTTGGGTCTCGTGTGGAAAAAGAGGTAGGCCCTTACGACCAGAAAGGTGATGATGTACGGGTGAAAAGTGCTTACCTTTTTCATGAAAGACATTACGTTGGTCGGAATCATGGTTGGGGACAGACGTAGGACGGGAGACGGAAGAAAAGCGGGTCACTAACGCGATCTAGAATTTGAAGCGACGAACTACGGCTAGGGGAATTATCTCTCGGCGGATTTACATTTTTATAACGGCGATTCACTCCGCGTTCATCTCAGGACTTGCAGGAAAATTATGAGCGGAGGTCCCGGGAACCTCCGTCGGGAACGCTTCGATTCACTGGAGCACATTTTCACACCGGGAGAACAGTCGGTTCCGATCCGAGGGAGGGGGACATTGTCGATGGTCTGGGTGAATGCCGAGCGGGAAACTGACCCGACCGCGAGAGGTTTCGTTCTTGGAGATGGCCCCGAGAATCTGTGAACAGAAAAGGAAATAAATGCATTATAAAACTGACAGTTCTGTTTTAACACCTTACTCATCCAAGTTTTCCAAAAGTTAAGATCAGCCAAAGCTGAAAAGGTAAAAGACTTATCTTAACTGCTGATCCAAAGATTAATACAAATCTTTAAAACTATTTAAAATGCCACAAGAATTTTTTAACGTCAATTATTTCCAAGGGAACTCATTTGGAAACATAAAAAATTGATATTGAAACTCTCAAACCACATATCTCTTTTCCGATGTTTCAGAAACTCCGCTCCCTTTTGATTTTTTTGAAGGAGAACAGACCAACATTATTCTTCGAAGTTTTGACAGAATTTTCTTCGCATAGAAAAGAAAAATCAAGGAGTACTTAAAGAATTGACGCTAGTAGGTCCTCAATCAAAAATTAAGTATAACAAGAAGTCTCTGACGTCGCACACTGAGACATGCGGTTTTGGAGTTTCCCCATCGAATGTGCACTTTAACAGAAACGCATCAGGTGCGAACTGAGGAAGATATAATGAGGAATAAGTTAATCAGCCAAAGCACGTAATAAAATAATAACTTAATCTAGGGAAAGGCTGCACAAACAAACAAAAGATAAATTTCAAAAACCGGAGCGTTTCGAAAATTGTGACAGATTCATTTCCAACCGGACAAAAAAGAGGCGAAAAAATGAGTCGTTGATTTGCTGAGGCAAATAGGTTTCAAGTTTTATTCTTCCATGAGGCTCAACATTGAAGGCGAAGTTTAACGACCATTTCTCGCTCAAAATGTTCCTCTCGACTTCGAATTTTTTGACAGGAGAAAACTTACGAACATTAGAAGTCAAAGCCATTCCTAACAATTTTTTCCCCCAAAATGCGAATTGGTACGTTTCTGTTAAACTTGGTCCTAATGAAGCCCAACAAGTTCAATAACTTTAAAACTTTAAAGTTCTGGCAATAACTTAATCAGCATTCTCATGCATGGTGCCTAAAATCTTCCAGCGTCTCAAAAGACAGCAGAGGGTAAACTTTGATGTTAAATGGAGTATCTGTTAAGTAAAGAGTGTCCATATTTCGACAGTAATAAGAACTAGCGGGCTGATTATTGACATTGATAGACGAAGCTATAGATAAGGAAGACAATGGGGACACCCTATTGGTGGGAGCAAGTATGGTTGCAATGGACAAAGGAAGTAAGTAATAGACTAACTAACGGTATCTCACGAGAGACTTAGAAAGTTAGTCAATCATTTTTCCCCTTAGTCCATAGCAACCACCCGTTTCAACCAATAGGAGCGCTCCATTTTTCTGTCATCTCCTTTCTCTATAGCTTTGTTTATTAATTTCAATAATCAGCCCACAGGGGGCGATTTGGTTTTTTACTTTGTACGACTTGAATGAAGTTATGGCAATCTCGCTTCGGACGACAGCATATTGCTCCACGTTGATCATAATCTGCGCTGACATCGTCCAAACTTGTTGTTGACACAATACAAGTTCCAATGATGCCACTATAACAATTCCCTGTTGAAAATTCACGTCTACGCGTAGAATCAAGCCCGCAAGCAGTCGCAAAAATCTCCGGGACACTTTATCAGTACGATCGTGATGATCCAAATTGGGGCAGTCGGCCCGTCTCCTTAGGAGCCTTGGCGTTGGCCACGGCTAAAACTTAGCCACCAAATTTTGTCTATTATCTTTATTATTAAATGCCCGCGTCGGAAAAACTACCGACTTTCCACGCGCGTCTGGCTACCGAGTGCCGCGGGTCGGGGCCTTGGACTCTGTTTAATCCGTGACGCATAAGTAAGCAGCTAATTATGGATTCACTAACGGCGGACGGGACGGGCAGCGAACACTGAGACGGGACAAGCCAAGGGACCTTACGAGAGCAGGGCCACGGTGACGCCAAACCCCCCA